GGGGGGGGGGGGTAGGCTGCCTGGTTGGGGTCTGGGCTGTGGGTGGGTATTGGGCCTTTGGGGGTGATTGGGGGTGGGGCTGGTGCTCCGGTTAAACCTGGATTGTTTGAATCCTTTGATCGGGGTTCCTGGTTCCGATGGCCAGCCCTTTGGCTGGGGTGGCTGCCGGGTTCTGGCGGGAGGTCGGCTGTGGTTGTGTGTGTGGTCGTTGGTAGTGCATGGCGGCGGTCGGGGGCATGGCTTCACTTCGACGGAGTGCTGGCTGGTCGGCCTGATGTGACATTCACGGTGCGGGGTGCTGTGTGTGTGTGTGGGGGGGGGGGGTGCATGGGTGGCATGCCAGGGCTTCTCTGGGCCTGTGGTGTGGGGCTTTAGGGATGCATTGGTGCGCTGGGCCGGCCTTCCTCGGCTGCTGCTCTGGCCCCTGGCCTGGGGCCGGCTTGCGGTCACTGTTGGGCAGGTGGGGCGCATGGATGGCCCAACAGAGGCTCTGTCGGGCTGTCTCTGTGTGCCTGTTTGTCTCAGGTTGGGTTTTGGGTGGCCCCCCTCTCTTGGACCAGTTTTGGCCCCCCATTTGGTGGGTCGTGCTCCCCTCCGGTGGTGGGTCCCCCTGCCACCGGTGCATTGGCGGCTCTCAGCAGCTGGAGCTGGGTGGTGGGGTGTGTGCGGGCCCGCCCTGGTGGCTGCCTGCGGGGGCCTGGGTGCCCTGGCTCTGTCGGGCCTCTGTTGGGGGGTGGTATGACCTCGGGGCTTGGTGTCCATGGCCGGATCCACTCTGGAGGGGCGGGTTGCTGGTGGGGCCTGTTGACTCATCACTACGGCCTCCTGGTGGTTTCTGCATTGTGGTTTCTGGGGATTGCCCGGGGCTTCCCTTTGCTTCTCTCTCTGGGGGGTGCGGGTGTCCCTGTTGGGGGACTACCGGAGTTCCGGGCTTGGGGGCCGCTGTGTGTCTGTGGTTCCAGTCTTCACTGTGTTACCTTCGTGTCCTGTGGGGGCAGGTTTATGGGTCCCCACATCCACTATTGAACATTTTTATGGAGAAACCTTATAATGGCAAGCATGCTCACACAGGTGTTTAGATTCAGGTGTTTATCAGATACACACTCAGTTGAGTTGTGGTGGCCATCAAATATATATTGTATTATGCTGGTGAAGATTCTCAGTCATCCAGGACATGATGAATTCAAAAAGCGTTCAATACAAAAACAACTGGATTTTATTTGTAACAGAAGACGTTTCGCTCCTCATCCGAGGAGCTTTCTCTTTGAATTGAGAAAGCTCCTCG